TTGTTCTAAACTTTTCAAATGTTCTGTTAATTCACTAGCGTGGGATTTTTCCAGCTTCTTTATGTAGGTGTTTAGTGCTATGAACTTGCCTAACAATGCTTTCATTGTGTCCCATACATTTGGGTATGTTGTGTGGTCATTTTCGTTGAAATTTTGGAAGTGTTTAATTTCCTCCTTTATTTCTTCCTTGACCCATTGATAATTCAGGTGAGCATTGTTTAATTTCCATGTGTTTGTGGTTTTTCTGGAATCAGTATTGTTGTGTACTTCTAGTATTAAACCATGGTGATCTGATAAGGTACATTGGGTTATTTTTTTTGTATTTGTTGAGGTTTGTTTTGTTACTGCATATATGGGCAATTTTTGAGAATGTTCTATGAGATGCTGAGAAGAAGGTATATATCCTTTTCTGTTTGGATGAATATTCTATAGATGTCTGTTAAGTCCATTTGAGTCATAACAACTGTTAGTTCTCTTATTTCTCTGTTCATTTTTTTTGTCTGATTGACCTGTCCAGTCGTGAGAGGGGAGTGTTGATGTCTCCCACTATTAGTGTGTGGGGTTTAACATATGATTTAAACTTTAGAAGTGTTTGACATATGAGAGTACCCTTGTATTTGGGGGCATAGATGTTCAGTATTGAAATTTCCTCTTGATGGATTTTTCCTGTGACTAATATAAAATGACTTTGTCTCTTTTGACTTATTTTAGCTTGAAGTCTACTTTGTTAGCTATTAGGACAGCTACACCCGCTTGTTTCTTAGGTCCATTTGATTGGTATTTTTCCCAACCCTTTATTCAGAGATGATGTCTGTCTTTGAAGGTGAGATGCATTTCTTGAATGCAGAAGAAGGATGGGTTCTGTTTTTGTAACAAATCTGTTAGTCTGTTCCTTTTTATATGTGAGTTGAGTCCATTTACATTAAGGGATATTAATGACCAGTGGTTGCTATCTCCTGTTAATTTAGTTTTCATCATTGGTAATATTAATTTGTCCATTTTTTTCTTCTTTGGGATTTGCTGTTATGAGGTCATCAATTGTCAGGGTTTTTGTTGGTGTAGCTATCTTCCTTGGGTTGGAGTTTTCCTTCTAGTATTTTGTGTAGGGCTGGGTTTGTGGCTAGGTATTGGTGAAATCTAGATTTGTCATGGACTATCTTGTTTTTTTCCTTCTATAGTGATCAACAGTTTTGCTGGGTATAGTAGTCTGGGCTGGCCATGTAGTGGTCTCTTAATGTCTGCATTATGCTTGACCATAACTTTCTGGCTTTCATTGTCTCCAATGAGAAGTCATGTATAATTCTGATAGGTCTATCTTTATATGTTACTTGGCCTTTTACCTTTGCAGCTCTTAATATTCTTTCTTTACTCTGTATGTTTTAGTGTTTTGATCATTATGTGGCAAGAGAACTTTTTTTGGGATACAGTCTATTTTGTGTTATGTAAGCTTCTTGTATCTTCATAGGCATATCTTTCTTTAGGTAGGGAAAGTTTTCTTCTATGATTTTGTTAAATAAATTTTCTGTGCCTTTGAGTTGAACTTCTCCTTCTTGTATACCTATTATTCTAACATTTAGCCCTTTCATGGTATCCCATATTTCCTGGATATGTTGGGTTAAGCTTTTGTTAGATTTAATGTTTTCTTTAACTGATGAGTCTATTTCCTCTATTGTATCTTCAGCGTTGGAGATTCTCTCTTCCATTTCTTGTATTCTGCTGTTCATGGTTTTGTTTGTGGTTCCTGATCTTTTTCTCATGATTTCTGTTTCTATAATACCTTCAGCTTGTGTTTTTTTTTAATTGTTTCTATTTCAGTTTTCAACTTCTGGAAAGTTTCTTTTATATGTTTGATTTCTTTTTCTTGGTTTTCGTTAAGTGATTTGCTGATATCTTCCAATTTTTTTGTTTGTCTTTTCCTCCATTTCTTTAAGGGATTTCTCATTTCTTCTTTAAGAGTTTCAAATATTCTCTTGAAGTTATTTTTTAGGTCATTTTCTTCTGGTTCATCCATATTTGCTTGCTCAGGTTTTGCTGTTGTGAGGTCTTTAGGTTTTACTGATAATGTTTTGCTTTTTGTGCTGTAGCATGTGATCTTACCTTTTCTACTCATCTTTTCCTTTAATGGGTGTGGCTGGGGCTCCCTGAGATTCTGTTGAATAATCTTCTAGGTGCCAGTGAATCCAAATCTCAGACGGTTGTTCCTCATGGTACAGTGAGGGTCACAGTTTTAGTTATCGCATTGGTTACTCCTGTTCTTGGAGATAGCTCAGCGCTCCTGTGCTTTGCTCTGCTCCCTTAGAGTTTGCTGTCTCAGGCCTATTTTGGCCTAGGTTGCTGGCTTTGATGTGTTTCTTTAAATCCTGGTCTGGATCCCCTCCTGCAGAAGTCCCTGGCTTGGAGTTGGACCTGTTTTGGTGGAGCTCATTGATTCTGGATTTGTTCGCTTGCTTAGTTCTGATCTTCCAGTGTTCTGGGACTGGGTTGGCTCCCAGGACTGGATTTCCTCCTGGCTTCTGCTACTGGTGGAGCTTGTTTCCTCAGGCCCTCTCTGTCCTAGGAGTCTCATTCAGTCCCACTACTGTGGAATTTGTGGCCCAAGATGGAGTTCCTTGCCTCAGGGCAACTTTGGTCTAGGTTGTCTGCTTTGACCTGTATCTGTAAATCCTGGTCTGGCTTCTCTCCTGCAGAAGTCCCTGGTTTGGAGTTGGACCTGGAAAGGTTTCTGGTTCTGGCCTACTGCTTCAGAGGTCCCAGGCTCAGGTGTGCCCAAACCTGCAGAGGACCTGCTTACTTGTTCAGAGGTCCCAGACTCACACTCGGACCTGCAGAGGTTCCAGGTTTCTAACTATTTCCTTTGATGTCCCAGACCAATGCCCTAACGCATAAAGGTCCTGGCTCAGGCATACTCTCCGTGACGTTACAGACTCATGCCTGGTCCTGCCGAGATTTCTGATTCCTGCCTATATCCTCGGAGGATCCAGGTTCACTTACTCCCAGATTGGCAGAGGTCCTGGCTCAGGCCTAGTTCCTAAAAGGTTCTAGACTCACACCTCCAGTATGTGTTCTTTCATGGCGCTGGAGATGACTCTGCTGTGCAAAGGCTTTACCACACTGATTACAAACAAAGGGTTTCTCTCCAGTATGTGTTCTTTTATGAATTTTAAAATAATTGTGATAGGCAAAGGCTTTCCCACATAGATTACATTCATAAGGTTTCTCTCCAGTATGTATTCCTTTAAAATGCACTTGAAGACTGGAATGACATGTAAAGGCTTTACCACATTGATTACATTCATAAGGTTTTTCTCCAGTATGTGTTCTTTTATGTATTTGAAGACCACTGCATCGTGTAAAGGTTTTACCACATTGATTACATTCATAGGGTTTCTCTCCAGTATGTGTTCTTTTGTGTATTTGAAATTTTCTGTAATGTGCAAAGGCTTTACCACATTGATTGCACTCATATGGTTTCTCTCCAGTATGTGATTTTTTATGCCCTTGAAGATGACCACGTTGTGTAAAGGCTTTACCACACTGATTACATTCATAAGGTTTCTCTCTAGTATGTGTTCTTTTATGCATTTGAAGAGAACTGCATTGTGTAAAAGCTTTACCACAGTGATTACATTCATAGGGCTTTTCTCCAGTATGTGTTCTTTTATGTGTTTGAAGATTACCATGTACTGCAAAGGCTTTACCACATTGATTACATTCATAGGGTTTCTCTCCAGTATGTGTTCTTTCATGGCATTGTAGATGACTATAGTGTGCAAAGGCTTTACTACATTGATTGCATTCATAGGGTTTCTCTCCAGTATGTGTTCTTCTATGCATTTGAAGATTACGGTGATGTGCAAAGCCTTTACCACATTGATTACATTCATAGGGTTTCTCTCCAGTATGACTTCTTTTGTGGCTGCAAAGATAATTGGCACATGTAAAAGCTTTACCACATTTAATACACTGTTGAATCTTTATATGTGTATGAATTAATTTCATGATTTAGTTCAATTGTGAAAAGAATTAAGTTCTTATGGTTTTATTACTGTGTTTGTATTCATGTTGCTCCCCTTTATAGGGGTTGTTTTGCATTGCTGAAGAGACATCTGATATAGGAACCTCTATTACTTGGATCACATTTACAGAATCTTTTTTTCTTTCTTTCTTTTTTTTTTTTTTCGAGACAGGATTTCTCTGTAGCTTTGGTGCCTGTCCCAGAACTAGCTCTTGTAGACCAGGCTGGCCTCAAACTCCCAGAGATCTGCCTGCCTCTGCCTCCCAAGTGCTGGGATTAAAGGCGTGCGCCACCACCACCCAGCCCAGAATCTTTTTTCTATATGAGGTTTTTTACATATTTGAAGAGACCTGGAAAAATTCAGGCATTCATATGTGGTATGTTATGTCTGCTAATATCCCTACGGTAATGTGACTTGTATATAGAATAATATGTGATGTACCAAGTAATGAATGAATAACAAATAGAAAGATTTACACATTGAATAGCATAGTTTGAATTTCTATTCCTCATAGACATGTAGTATAGGTATTAAGTTCTCAGCAATGACTGCCCCTTGACTCTTGACTCTAACTGACCCATAACTAAATTTAGTACAGTCACAGCAAGCATATGGGTAACACTAGCTTAACTATGCACCATTTGTTTATTAGAAAGTTTTGGAGACGTGCTTATCACATACTCAACATATATACCTTTCTAAATATGGGTGGTAAGAAACTTAATACATTGGCACTTCTATAGCATGGCTCTCATGGAGCTGGGATTCAAAGGGTGAAATCTGTTAAGGCATTTTCTTTCTTGTCTTGTGAGTGCCTTGCAAATGAAATTCACCTATCTATAACTAAGGAGTATGGTTTTGTGATAATTTAATAATCATCAATGCACATGAACTTGTGCTTTTTTATACTTGCTTTTGTTTAAGACATCTAGAAGGCATTACAATTTCTTCAGAGGCACATTTGTGCCAGGTTGCACATGATAATTACCTTCCATGAATTCTGGAACTTTGACAACGTTCTTCAATATTATGGTCTTCCCAACTGTATCCTAAAAAATAGTACCAGAAAATATATGGTATATTATTGAAAACTGTACACAATTCAAGTTACTACCTTCAGTAAACCTTAGAAACATGCCCAATTTACTTACCTCACTCTTCTTTCCCAATCAGATTGTAGAAGAGCTCAAAAAATGAGGAAAAGCTGTCCCCTTATTTAAAACCTTGAAGGAAGATTTAATCTTACCGATAGTAATGAGGTTCCTGTAGGTCTCCAGCATCACCTCTTTGTAGAGATTCCTCTGGGAAGAATCCAGCAATATCCACTCTTCCCAAGTGAAGTCAACATGCACATCATCATAGGTCACTGCATTCTGAAATGTTCATACATGTGTACAACAGGGAGCATGATACTAACAACATGGTAAAAGTAGACAGATACCTACATTCAAGGTCCAACATACAATAAAATAAAAAGAATAAGGCCAGGAATACGGGCCCACTTTTAATCTCAGCAATTTGAAAGCCAGAGTCAAGGGGATCTCTGAGTCACAGGCAAATCTCTTGTACAGAGTTGCTTTCAGGATAGCCAGCGCTACACAGACAAAAGGGTGGCAAACCAGCCCAGCAATGAATAGCAATTGCTTCTACTGTATCTTTTATATGATTTATAGGAACTAAACTGAATCAATGAGTCACACCATGCTGACTGGTGGTAGCAGAAAGTTAAAAGCATTCTAATAAAATATTTCTGAAAAACGATCCACATCTCCTCTTTCTACAACTTTGTAAACTTTTAATAACATAACACAAACCTCAAAGTGGAATGCAATATTCAGAACCTCTAGAAACCAGACCTTCTTTTTCAAATCCATTTTCCCACCATGCACCACAACAATGCCTGTATGGGCACACTGGACAGTGGATATTATAAGCATCATATCCTCCAGGTCAAGGTTGCAGAGCCTTCCCTTCCCCAGGAAATCCCACCCAGGTCATCACAAGGACTAACAAAACCACAGTCTGGCTCATGGTCCATTCAAGTCCCAGCAGAAATGACAGTACAACTGACCTGCTCTGAGCACCCCACACTCACCATGGCATGGCTTTGGTCTTCCTTACAACTCCCTACAGCTGAAGCAAAGAATTCTGAAAAGAACCTGCAAGCTAGTACATCTGTTCCTATGGCTTGCCAGAGTCCCTCATTATTTAGGGCCACCCAGCTAAGCCTGATAATATAATAAGCAGTTGCATGAAGGAAAAATGAATTTCATTTCATTCTATTTCAGCTGGACCTTAGCATATAATAAACAGTAGAGATCAAGTGACTCAGGCAGCATAGGCCTTGCCAGCTCTGCCCTTCCAACCCAGCAGTCAGGGTCATAGTCTGGAAAGCTGGAAGTTTAGTACACATTCTTCTATGCCCCCAGAGCACTTCCTGTTCCTTGTCCAGGGCACAGGGTCCTTTGTGCATACATTCCCTTACACACTCAATGTCCAGTGCGGCCAACCCTTTGCTTCTTAGTTTTGAATTCCAGCAGCCAAACAGGTCACATTTAATCAGTGCGTGTTGTTAAAGCAAAAACGAGGCCACGGGTTAGAAAACAATGAGAAGCTATGGTAGGACTTGGAGGCAAGAGAGAGACTCCACATATGATGTAGATTTCATGTCAAATAATTATTTTGAAAAGTTGGAACAGGCTTTAGGGCCATAAGCTCCGGAGGTTAGGGACTTGAATGAGAGCACACCAAGGACTGTTGTCGCCTTTCTGTCAACCTGAACCTCAAAAATAACACTCCTGTAAGGCAGGCCCACAACTTTTTATAATGATCTTCTATTCTGGTTGAACTAATGTAACTCCAGTAATTTGGTTACATGGTGGCCAGTCCTTTATCCAGATTCTTGATTGCCCAGGTCTGTGGAGCTGAAGAAATGGCCACTCAGGACTTTTCTGGAGCATCTAAAATCGATTACCTGACTCCACATTGCTAACATCAGCTACTGCCAAAGGATCAAAGCTCTCGCCCTCCTTCCTGCCATTCCCTTTCTGAACAGTGCCTACATCAGATTCAAAGTTGGTGAGTGAACACAATTCTTGCACAGGTCATTCTTCATTTGTAACTCCCCAGGAAAAGTCAGAGAGATTGAAGGACAGTCATTCACTGTTCTCTTTAGACCAGTCGAGGCTCAGCCCGTGAGAAGTTGTCGGACTGTCTTCCTAGCACTGGGCAGCAGAGGCAGGAGTAGGTGAGCAATGCAATTCTCAACTTCATAGCTTCAGGCAAGCTGGGCTGTGGAAGATATTGCTCTAAACACATGAAAATGGTGCTTGAGAAAAAAGGAATGAAATTATTAATAATCAAGAAACATTGGAGAACAGAAACAAATAGAGACGAGAGCACTAATGAACATAAAGAAAATATTAAAACATGATGACAATAAGTGACTTTTTAAAAAGATAAAAATAACGTGCTTTTAAGATTTAAAAGATTAACTATATGACTTTGAAAAAGAGTAGGTTCTTCTCTAGTAGAGGGAAGGCCATTGATAAGCGATTGATTGATTTTGAATATATGCACATGTTGGCAGCTAAGATCTCTAACCTGACTCACAGAGTAACAACAATTTCCTGATTTGCAAACATCTAATTTGATGTAAATGTGTGAAGGAGGACTGGTCAGTAAAGTTTCCTAATTGAAAATTCAGTTATTCATGGCTTCAAGATAACTTTCTCACATTGTACACCCACCAATCCGGTCTGACTTGAACCACCTGACATGAATTAATACATGCTGGGAAATTACAACTGAACTCCTCCTTCCACAATGAGGTCCTTTTTTCATAATGGTGACTCCAGCAGCAGGATTGCCTACCCTGCTTCACTTCTGCTATTCTGGTCTGGAGGCAGAAGCCATGTTCCACATGCAAATCCTTCTCCTGTAACTGCAATGGACAGCCGACCACACGACTCAATGAATAATTTTAAACCGCTGAGGTGGTACCGTCATTCAATTTACAAATGTTGCAGGTGTAATATAGAGAACAACAAGGTCATGACCTGAAGTACAATAGTCTCAAATCAAGGCCACCTGAGTCAAAAGAAAAGAGCTTGTCTCAGAAACACCTTCCTAAGAGGCTGGAAATGCAGATGCTCTAGAATTACTATGTCTTCCCAGGGAGAAATCACTACCCACGTTTTGGAAATTAATAATAAACTCTTTATGAGAGCATTCATCTCTCTCTCTCTCTCTCTCTGTCTAATCCTCAAAGAGTAGGCAGCCTAGAAAGATTTTGCATTTTGCATATACTATCACCTTTAAGTTTCTTTTAGGGTCATGCACTTTGAACAATTTAAATAGACAGGAGACTGCAAGTCTAGACACTTAGGCAGATGGGAGACTTACACTGATGGGGAAAGCCTTGTTAACCAATAATCTTTAAGAGGTGGAACCTAGTTTAGGCCTGGCTTTCTGGGACCCGGAGATAAAAACCTGTGTACCACCCAGGTGCGCTCTCTGTGTAGCTTCCCCCACGGTTGTGCAGAGCCTGGATCTTCCATTCCTGTGGTGTGAGTTTTCCCCTAATAATAAATAAAATATATCTGTCTAACTTTAAGCTACCGTGGTTATTTCCATATCTACATAACTTCTACAGGCGGTGCCCAACGTGCTGGATATTAAAATCCCGGTCCTGATGTGTGGGCGCGGGCGGCCCAGTCCTGCTGGAAGCGCATTCTTGCAGGCTGCGGTGTGTGATGATGGTGCAAGAGCAGTGGCCACTAGTCCCGCAAGTCGCACACCACGGAAATTCAGACAGGACACAGGCTTTCCCAGGGCCCCTGAATGCCCGCAGCAACCACAGCTTTTTCTGCACTTGCAGAGGCCAAGGAGCTATCGCCCAGAGCTGCCCTCCGCGCAGGCGACCGCTCTGCGTCCCTTTCCTGGTCCTAGAGCAGCTGTGGCCCAGGGCTGCCAGTGAGCAGATCAGGTTCGGCTTTAGGTGGGCTCAGCAGTCGAGATGTCCTGGAGACCCGGCCTTCGCTGGTCTGAGCCAGCTGTTCGCTGTTTCAAACAACTTGTCTGCTTTTGCTATTCTAGTGCTTGTGTGGTCGCTGACCAGTCAGGGACCTTCGCGGAGCACACAGTCTGTGATTCGCACTAAGTAATTGTTTTTAATTTGAGCATATTTCAGAATTTAGCGCCAGATTCAGATTCAAGCCAGCCACACAACTGCAAGTGTGCAGCGACACCTACTGGCAGGTAATGGTTATTGCACCTAATCCAGCTAACTAAACCACAGGTAAGATTTAATACTCAAAATATAAATCATAAATTTATAACTTAAAAGGGCAAAATTACGAACAATTCAACCATACAGGGTTTCAATAGACTTTTCACTTATACCATTCACGAGGTTTTGCAAGACTTACATGATTTCCCTCCTACATCACTGTACCTGATTCTGGGGATTAGTTTTTTGTCCTCCATATTCTTTCCTTAAAAATATGGTTTGATAATAGCGCCAAGAATGAGGCACTTTTAGAAATGGTAAAGTCCTTACAGACTGATACCACTCTTCTAAAAGAAAATCACTACTATGGAGAAGGATAATGTTGAGACATTGTCTGAGAGAATTCGTACTCTTGAATGTATTAATTGGACTCTCTCAAAGGACTATGATTGACTGATAGAACGTCTCTCCAGGAAGGTAATATGCATTCTATAAAACTCATGTCCAAGGATGAGACATTATTTCTACTGGACAGACTTCACACCTTGGAATCCTCAAAGAGGGCCTTAGAACAGAACACTGGACAGAAGATCCAAACTTTTAAAAGGCAGTGGTGAATAGATTTGAAAAGATTGAGGAATTTATCAAATTTGATGACCAGGGACAAAAGGTACAAAGGCAAAATTTAGCCTCATCAGTGTGCAAAAACCTCCAGGATACCTTACCCAGAGTTCTGCCTGCCTTTCCGATAATAGCATCAGAAAGAGCATCTGGTACAAAATGCCCTAAGGTAGTCAAAAAATATGCATGAGAATCCATACATATGACTGATCTAAAGGAAATTAAACAGGCAATTGTAGCTTATGGACTACATTCATCCTTTGTTAGAGAAATGGTCAAAATGTGGGCTTCCAGTAGCAAAGCAAGGCCACAAGTTCTGAACTCAGTTACCTTAGCAGTCCTAGACAGTGGACCGCAGTTGCTTTGGAGGTGATATTTTAGGGAAAAGGCAAAAAATTTAGAGCAACAACAATCAAAAAAAGAAAAGAAAAAGGACTTGAGATTTTCCCAAATCAAATTCTGGGCGAGGGACTTTACTCTGATCGTCAGGATCAAGCTCTTTATGATAAACACACCTTGTCCCTATGTAGCTCAGCAGCTTTTTAATGCTTAGGACAGGATTCAGGAACTAGGAAAGAGTTGAATCATATCTGAAGGTTAAACAGGGCCAGAGAGAACCTTTTAGTGAATTTTTACAAAGATTAACTAAGGCTGTGCAAATAGGGGTAACTGCCCCAGAAGCTAGACATATATATAATAATTGAATCTTTGGCATATGAGAATGCCAACTTAGAACGAAAAAGGATCCTTGGGCCTTTAAAGATCAGATCAGCACCCATGGATGAATGGGTCTTGCATACAACAAATGTCAAGACACTTGACTATCATTTGGTAAGCATGGGTAATTTCAATGACCTGAAATCCCTGCACTCCAAAGTTCTTCTAATGATTCATGTGCAGACCATGCTGTTTCCTGGGTGCTTTTCTATTTCTCTCGTGACCTCCACACATAAGATCAATATGACTATGAACGTTATGATTAAATTGGTATTCACTACGTCCGAGTGGATATGTCATGCACACACTCTCACACAGCGCCCCACATTACAAAGCTTTTAGAACATAAGATGTAATTTTCAGCCTCCTTACACACTAGCCCAGAAAGTCTCAATGTGTACCCTTGCTGACTTGCACGTATGTCCCAACATTCCCGTTGTTAGAAGCAGGTCTGGGAGTCACAAGAAAATGGGGCAATACAAAAGTTTTAACTTCTGCAAAATGGCTTTTAGTGGTAAGTGAAGTGGATGTGCTAGTAGGTTTTCATTCCTAACACAAAGGGGTCTCGGGCCCTACTCTGAGAAGTCAGAGCCTGGTTTCCCATGCGTATAAGACTGGCTAACTTAAAGCAGTGCAGTTGATAAGCAACGTGAAGCTTTGGGGAACAGTATACAACCTGGAGCACATACTTTCAAAACAAAAAATGCTAACAGGGGGAGGGATCTTTGCCAGATGGCATCTTCACAAATCTCTTTAAAGATGGAACTCCTTTTGTCTCATTTAACCCTTTGAAAGAAAAGATAGTACAATCCATTTACATTTCACACGGGGAAGGCCAGTACAGCCTTAATAAAGAACATTATTTTGTCTTGGTGCTATCTACCCACCCTCTCTAGGGCTGCAATTCTCTAGAACTTCCCTTTAATACTTCCTCTCTCATCTGGTCAACACCACCACTCTGCAGCCATTCATTTCCCAAGGCATTTTGGCACTCATTCCAACAAATGACATTATTATTACAGCTCAGAGCATGGAGCCTCCCCACTCCTTATAGAGCAGCAAAGTATGAACACTCCCATGCGGTGGATGAACTGCACAGGCTTAAAAAAGAGTAGGTGTGAACAATATAAAGCCTTTAAGAAGACGGGTATGGATTGCTAACGCTAGGTGAGCATCAGTTTCCTCGTTTCTCCTGTTAGTACCTGGATGACCATGCATATTCCTCCCTCCGTTGACTCCTTCACTACGATCTTGAACTCCTGATTATCCAGTCTTCTCTGCCCTGCTGCGATTACAGGCATGAGTCACACGCCTGGTTTATGTGGGGTAGGGGACTTTAAAAGAGCCCCAGCTCCCCTTCACTATTTGGAAAAGATTGAGAATGTTGTTCTCCTCACCTTAAATTCTTTCCAACATTTATCTTGGTTCACGGCGCCAACCCAAGCACAAAATCCATGCATCTGAAACATAAAACAAGTGTAATCCAAAACGCGGAACACTGCAGCTAATTCGTCCCGATTCGTCAGCCTCTGTCGCCAGGCTTATTCTCAAGTGCTCCTCCAGCCTGACAGAACAGGGTGCGCTCCCAACTCAACCTGGAGCTGATTCCAGTATCAGCGACACTCCGAAATCACCAACCTTCCTCAGACAAGAGGCTGTGCTAAGGCTCCGTGCGGTGGGCGCCCCCTGGTGGCGCCACTAACTACCTCCTGCCGGGACGACCTGGAAGGGGAGGAGCAGAAAGCAGCGCGGCGGGGCCCGCCAGTGCTCGTCTTCCGGGGAAGAAAATCTGCTTCCAGAGCAGAGGGGAGAGGCGGGCCCAGGCTAGGGGGCGGGGCCCATCCGAGAAGTGTAGCGGGAGCAAGCCGGCGTGGGGCGGGGCCTGACGGACGCGGGCGGGCGTGGGGCGGGGCCGAGCAAACGTCTGCTTGCGCGCCGCCTTTCGCCTCTGGCCGCTGGGGGCGCTCCCTCTCCTGCCGCCCTCCTCGGCTATTCCGCGCGTGCTCGCGTGTCCTCGGCGTGAACCGGAACCGCTTGCCGGAGTCGCGGCTGCGAGCTGGGCACTGAACGAGAGCGCTGTGGGAGGCGGCCTGCGCGGCGCCGCCCGCCATGGCAGCGGCGGGCTGAGCTCTGCCCTGGGCCGCAGTCGCGGACTCAGGCTTCTCCGCCGCGAACCAGGGGCTGAGGCCGTAGCAGCGGTAGCCGCCCGCTTGTCGCCGCCGCCCATGGCGAGGCCCCGCCGCCGCCGTCGCTGCTGACCCGGGGCCGGCGCGGCTTCCGTCCTCCGCGGGGCGCGGGCGGCCTGCTTTTGCGCCCGCGACCGCGCCCGCGCCCCGGGGCTACCAGCCGGGCGCTCGACGATGGGGAACACAACCTCGTGCTGCGTGTCGTCCAGCCCCAAGCTCAGGAGGAATGCGCACTCGCGGCTGGAGTCCTACCGGCCCGACACGGACCTCAGCCGTGAGGACACGGGCTGCAACCTGCAGCACATCAGCGACCGGGAAAACATCGACGGTGAGCGGCGCCGCCTCTCCCTCCCCTCCCGAGCGCGGCTTGGAGTCTTGCTGATCCGCTGCCCGGGGCTACTAGGCCCATAGGGAGCGTGGAAACTTTGCTAGCCAAAGGCCTCCAGGCGTGTGGCATGCGTGTACAGGGGCGCGGCTGTATGCATGTGCGTGTGCTGCTTGCCAGGAGGTGACAGGGGAGGCCTCAGGCCGGGTGCTTTTGGAATGTTGCCAGAGTCGTTACGTTTGGGGTGACGGTGATATGTGTCCTTTCCGAGAGGAAGGGAATTGTCACACCGGTGACAGTTTTACCTGGAAGTCTTTACCTGGAGTTGGCCTGCGTTCTATTCCACCCCTGTTACCTCGAAAACTAATCCAGGCCCAAGGGAGTATACTTGTGACTGTAGATACACAAATGTATACATATGTATGGTAAGTGTACATACAGTCCCCCCCCCCCCAAATACCGTATGGAAATGGTTTCAGGGCTGAGGTAAAAGGTTCACCTCAGAATGTTTTTTTAAAAAATTATTACCAGGTAGCTGTGGGTTAAGTGATCTAGTTTTTGCATGGGCTAGAATTACAGTCATATGAATTTCAGATTCATCTGGGTTACTTGGATTGTGTATTTTGAAAAAGTATGTATATTTGAAAAAAGTTAAAGGAGTCATTACTACACCTAGTAATGTTTTATCTTAACTGATTTTGCAGTAGCCTTCTGAGTACTGTGTTTCATCATCAAGCTCTAAGTAGTTTGTGCTTGGGGCATAAAATACAGTTTATGTGATTCCCAACTCAAAAGATTAGAAGTTGAAATATATCATTGTACCTTTTTTTTAAAACCAAAATCCTCACAGCGTTTATCTAGTTAAACTCACCTGAGATCTTTCTTACGAGAATGAATTAACAACTGGTATTGATTTATTCTTGCCCTCTTTGAAGAGTGGAGTGTGCCTTGTAATGTGAAAAGCTACATTTAAGTGCTAAAGAAAAGAATTTTGCTATTTTGTGTTAGGATGGCAGCTTTATTAAATGAGTATCATAAGAATACTCATACAGTTTAGAATAAATTCTAGTACTACATGATTTTTCTAGTGTTATTTAAGATTTATTTTTATGTGTATGTGTGTGTCGTCATTTGAGATCAGAGGAAGATGTCGTATCTCCTTGATGTGGAGTTACAGGTGGTTGTGAACTTAGGTGCTGGGAACCTATCTCAGATTTTCTGGGTGAACAAGAAGCAGTCTTAATCAGAGACATCTCTCAAGTGCTCTATGTGTGTCCATTAGCTTGATCTTCTCTTTAAATGACTAACATTTTTACACATATTAAGACATGTGGAAGAATATTAAAGTTAGAACTCCTAAACACCACAGTAAAACTGTATTTTAAAGGAAGGAGTGAAGAAATGGATGAGTTCATTGTAGAAGGCTGGTACCAGTCCTGTACATGATTGACAAGTAAAAACACATGGAAGACTTTAATAACTAAGTCTACAGGATTCCGTTAGGCCCTTTTCATGCAAGTATGTAGTGTACTTTGAGTTTCTCCTCCATCCTTCACTGCCCTCACAGTTCTCATACCTCCCCTTTATTCCCAAACAGCTTTGCTTCTGCTTTCATACCATTTCACATACAGCATTTTATATATCCATTAAATCTGGGACCCATAAGGGAGAGAAATCATGCAGTATTTGCCCTTCTGAGACTGACTTAACTTGCTTTATATAATTATCTCCAGTTGTACCCATTTTACTTAGAACGACATAATTTCATCTTCATGGCAGAATGAATTCATTGTATATAAGCCATATTTTCTTTTTCCATTTCTCAGTTGATGGACAGTTGTGCAGTAAACATTGATATGCAAGTATTTCTGTGGTTTTTGTTGTTGTTATTGTTTTTAACTTTTAGACAATTACCCAGGAGTGGTATAGCTGAGTCATGAGGAATATTTTAGCTTTTTTAGCACGTTCTGGACTCGTTTACAGTCTCACCAGGACTGTATAAGGGTGTCCCTTTTGTCTTCATTCCCATCAGCATTTGTTACTTTTTGTTTTAAAAATACCATTCTAAATGAAGTGAGATAAAAATCTCACTGTAGTGTTTAATTTGTGTTTCTTCATGGCTAGTGATGTTAGATATTTTATATCATTTAAATGTTCACTTATTCATTTAATTACCTATGAGGCAAGATCTCTCTATGTGGAACTTGGTGTGTATATCAGACTGGACTTGGTTGGTCTTACAGAGATCCACCTGCTTCTGCTCCAAATGTTGGAATTAAAGATGTGCTCTGTCATTCTGGGGTCCATACATTTGTTGCCAGTCTATGATTACTAGGTAGTTTAGTTTTTTGATCACACTGGTGATCGGGTTTTGAGTTCTTTGTGTATTTTAGATTTTAACCCTCTGCCAGGTGCATAGTGGTAAAGATTTCTCCTATTCTGTAAGCTGTCTATTCATGCAGTTATTTTCTTGAGTGTGCATAGATTCATGAAAACTCATTTATCATTGTTGGCACTATTTCTTGAAAGCCTGGAGTTTAGTAATATTTACTTATGCTGGTACCTTAAATGTTTCTTTTGCTTTGTCCTTATTAGTTTTAGGGCTTCAGGTCTTACATTAAGGTCTTTGATCTGTTTAGAGTTGGTTTTTGTATATGGTGAGAGACACTGTTCTAGTTTTATTCCATGTGTAGATAGTTTGGCCAACAGTATTTGTTGAGGAGGCTATTTGCTCAAATGTGCTTTTTTTCTGATTTTGTAAAAAATCCTGTGGCTCTCTGGGTTTATAACTGGGTCTCCTGTGCTGCCATTGATTTGTCTCTGCTCTAGTACTATTATTATGATGCTTTTTGTTTTCTTTTTGAGATAGAGTCTTAACTTTGTAGCTCTGGCTGGGCTGGAACTAGTTAAGTAGATTAGGCTGGCCTCAAACTCAGAGATCTAGCTGCCTCTACCCTTGAGTGTTTGGATCAAAAGTGTGTGCCAGTGATGTCTTTATTACTATGTCTCTGTTGTAGTGCAACTTGAAATCAGATGTGATAACTTCCAGCATTCTTCTTTTGCTCAGGATTGCTTTACTAATTGGTCTTTGGTGTTTCTCTGTGAATTTTCAGCCCCCTCTTCCCCCACCATTTGTAAAGAAGAATGGTGTCAAAATTTTGATGAGAATTGCATCTATTGTGTAGATTGTTTTTGATAGTATAGCTATTTTCATAATATATATTGTTCATATTATGAGCATGGAATGGTTTTCCATCTTATAGTATCTTTGATTTATTTCTTTAGCATTTTAAAGTTTTCACTGTAGAAGTTTTTTTACAAGCTTTATTACAAGGCTTTGGTTGGTTTGTTTTTGATGTAATTGTGAATGGGATTATTTTTCTGATTTCTTTCTCAACGTGTTCATTATTGGTATCTAGGAAAGCTACTAATTTTTGTATATTGATTTTGTATCCTGTCTCTTTGCTCTAATAGTTTTCTGGTGGTCTTTAGGGTCTCTTATGTATAGATTATATTATCCGTAAATAAGGTTACTCTGACTTCTTTTTTCCCTGCTTCTATCTTTTTTATTTTCCTTTCATCATATTGTCCTACATAAAACTAAAGACGAAATGTTGAGTAAGAGTGGAGATAGGACATCTTTGTCTTATTTTATTGGAAATGCTTTCAATTTCCCATTAGTATGATGTTAGGTATAGGTTTGTTATATGTGCCTTTCATTATGTTGATACATTCTTTGTATTCCTAGTTTCTCCAACATTTGAATTATGAAGGGTATCTTGTTGAAAGCCTTTTCTGCACCTTTAAGATAATCATGTGCTTTCTGTTTATGAACTAGTTTGTGTGATGCATTGCACAAATTGTTTTTTAAAATCATAAATGATATTTTTGATATGTTCTTGAATTCTGTTTGCAGAAGTATTTTTCCTATATGGTGTACACCAATATTTGGTAGAGGTTTTCTGTTTTAAACGAGAGCAGAAAGAACCCATAAAAAGAGAAAAAGAGCCAGGCGGTGGTG